GGAAAAAACCTCCTCAACCTGGAATGCACACAGAGCGGAAATGATCATGTCAACGCTACGCAGGGAGTTCAGAGGCATCTCAAATAAGCAAGTTAGGACACTGACGAGTGAATAATGGGGTCGGGTCGATAGGCAGTCGATATGCGTGGATCGGCAGTCTCGCGGAACCTTGGGTTGGTGGGGATGGGTGCGGCTTGGGGAGGGAGATGGGGGTTGGGGAGAAGGGGGTTGGGGAGGGATGGAGGGAAGGCTGGGGAAATGGGAGAGGGGTGGAGGAAGGTTTGGGGAATGGAAGAGGGGTGGAGGGAAGGTTGGGGGAATTGGTTAGGAATGGAGGGAAGAGGAATAGCGGGTGTGTGAGGAACGAGATGGGGGAGTGGTGAAGGAAATGGGGGGGGGGGGGATTGTAGGAGCTTATACGGGGACGGTAGATGCGGGTATGAGGGTAGGGGGCTGGGACTGGGAATTGGGGAAGGCGTGTGGTTGGAGAAGGGAGTGGGACGTCTAAGGGAGGGAGGGGGAATAGGGGATGGCGTGCGGGTAGGGGAGGGAAGAGGAGGGGTGGAAGAACTGCATGCGGGCGCCAGAACACTTCAGCGGATCGATCATGAATGAAGGGAGGGGGAGGGGGAGGGGTAGTAATATATACAATAGCTCGGCGGTAGTTTTTGGAGGAAGAAAGAAGAGGGGGGAAGGAGGGCGGTGGAAGAGATACCGTAAATATTACCACATAATCGCGAAAAAGTAAAAAAAATATATATATATGCTTGACAGACTGACCACGTTGTGCGAATAATACCCACGAATTAGCCAACACGTCGCTTCAGATTTCACGCTATTTATATTTTCCAATTTCCTCATCTTGTGACCATGGCTGGTTTTCTGGTTGTTCATATTTTCCTTTGAAAGGTTGATGTCTTCCACGTTAAAATGGATTGGTAAAGTACCATTGTTCATGTGGAGACGAGGACCAGTATGTGTGTCTGTGACCTTGTGCATGTGTGATGTACTGTGCGTGTGATGTGTGTATGTGCGTGCGGGAGTTTTGTTTACGTGTTCGACGCTGCTTTGCGTGTTCGAAGCTGCAGGAAAACGCAGACATTTACGTCCCTCAGCGTGAGGTTTCGCCCGGGGGAGCACTTTCCGCGGCATAATGCTTCTGTGTTCAGGAGGCGAAGGATTTTTTTACAAGCATATCTCCTGATTTCCTCCAGGATGCCAGACTCCCGATAAGATAACTGCCTCTAACTTCCTGTCGGTTATCCACACCTAGCTACTGCGATGCTGCTTCCTTTGTTCGGCACTGGGAGTGTGTCTTCTTGAATCTATTTATATATAGTCGAGTTATGTCTTAATTCCATATATTTCTTCTTTTCTATACCTTATTTTGCCATTTTGTTTGTTGCGGCCGTCCTTTATTTTTAATTCACTTTACACACTGACCGCAATAAGTAGAATACCGTACCTTATACCTTATGCTAGTCGTCACAGATACCGTGGATCTAGACATTTTCCGGGTCTAGATCCAGAAAATATTATGTGGAAAATTGGTTTATTAAAGATAACCGGCAGAGCAGAACGTATATACTGAAATTCGCATGTACAGCGTGAATTATTAACGAAAAATGGCTACTTTATTCTCGCATAATTTGTAAGCTAAAGAGAGTGGCTTTAAAACCGGTTAGAAACCAGTATGCAGTAAATACGAACTTGTAATCCAATGAGAAAGAGAAAAAGAGAGAGCTGATAAAAATTGAGAGAGAGAGAGAGAGAGAGAGAGAGAGAGAGAGAGAGAGAGAGAGAGAGAGAGGGAGGGAGGGAGGGAGGGAGGGAGGGAGGGAGGGAAGGGGGGGGGGGGGGTAGTTCGTGCATATGCTGGGAGGTGGGGAATTTTCTTAATCTAGGAGATGCACGCTCAGGGAACAGTTAACTCTGAAATATTTAGTCAACTGAATTACTTTATTTCCCATAGTGCCACTAAATAGTATAAAGCAATTTCTTTGTGTTATGAAATATGGTAATGATAGAGAGAGAGAGAAAAAAAGACGATATGAAAAAGGAACCGCATTTCGGTTTGGTACAGCGGCATAGTTTGTACCAAGGGGGGGGGGGGGATTCCCAAATAACATCTAATTCTGTTTAATTCTGAATCTTTTTGTACGGAGAAAAGAGCTTGTTCAAATCAATGAATACAAATGATTATGCTATTTCACCATACGTGTGTTTTTTCCCCGTCAAACCTAAGAAATGTAGAGGCTTAGTAAAGACCTGAACCCTTGGGGCTTCGAAACATCGAGCCACGCCACTGAAGAAAGAGAAGGAAAGCGAGATAAAGAGGAAGGTGAAGAGGGAGAAAAAAGAGAAGGAGTTGGAGAGTGTGAATGGGTATTACATCTAAGCGAGGACACTGCAGTGACCTTTTTCATACAAAATTTATATGCTGGACAAGGCTACACTGTCGTGCTGAGAAAGCTTAAAGAGTGCTTAGGTTGAGACAGTTTTTGAACCGCTCTCAACTGGATCATAAGAAGATAATGATGTTTTTATTGTAAATTGTAAATGTATTCTCCAAGTTCCGGAATCGAACTGGGATTAGGTTTTCGCCCAACAACACTTTTTTCACAGACAGATGTTGTTCCTTACGTGTTAATATGTATTTGCGAATAGTTTTTGTACCGTTGCTCTCTTGTCTTTCAGAATTTCAAAGGTAGTATAAGTCGTATATATGCATGGGAATAAAATTATTTTAAAAGGAAATTCCATAATATTAATATTTACGAAGATCGTATAAGGCTTAATAAATATTTTATTACTAGAAAATATAGATTTTTGAGCAGCAGTCAATGGCCGTACGACGATTAATACGAACGCGGAACTTACCTAAATTGAAGTTTTTATCTTTTAACATTTGCAGAAACATCCACATAGGCATAGATCCATAAGAAATTTTATGGATAGAAGAAACCAGTTACACTAATGAGTAAAACAAAGCATAAAAAACACGACGACACCTGCATAGAGTAAATTCTCGTAAATTGAAAGTTCGTTTTCCGGTCGCCTTTGAATCCCCGGCTAATCTCTCAGCTTTGAAATGAAAACCAGAATGCCTCCCTTGCGCCTGTTTAAAAATTCACGACTGCCACGAGGCTGGTCGCAGGATCTACATAGCACACATTAATTCACAGTTCAGAAATGCGAAGTGTATTCAGTGAAATAGGCTGCCATAAATTGTACGCTAAAATTCATTCTACATGTTCGTATTGTACCCAATATCTCGTGCACGCAAACACGCATATATACAGTGATATGTACGTCGGCGCAGGCAGACACTGACACGCACACGCACGCACGCACACACAGTCAAAGACATACACAGTCAAACACATACACAGTCAAACACATACACAGTCAAAACACAAAAAACATACACATTCAAACACACAGTCAAACACAGAGAGAGAGAAGAGAGAGAGAGAGAGAGAGAGAGAGAGAGAGAGAGAGAGAGAGAGAGAGAGAGAGAGAGAGAGAGAATGCTGTTATAATGTAGATGTCTGTTTCGGAGATATGATAAGACACAGACCAGACCATATTACAAATAAGAAAATCCCAATTTGATTCTTACTGGTTTTCGAATCTTATCAGTTAAAAGAGGATGTAGTAGGTGTGAAAGGACACACATCTGATAGGAGGTTCAGAATATATCGTTGTTTTTCTCTTGTATTTGAACTTCGTTGGTTTATTAAGGTTTATGGTGTATTTGGAGTTGATATAAGCAGTTCGTGGGACAGTTTAGGATAGAATGCGGTTGGGATGTGAATATGTACTGGGTTTTGTAATGTTTTTGATAGTGTTCTACGTAAGATGCATATACTTACGCGTGTTCAAGGAGGTGCACTCGTACGCCCGTGTCAGACACACTCTCACTCACTCACTCACACATGCACCTACACACCTACACCTACACACACGCACACGCACACACTGCACACGCACACGCACACACACACACACACACACACACACGCACACACGCACACGCACACGCACACACACACACACACACACACACACACACACACACACACACACACACACACACACACACACACACACACACCACACACACCACACACACACACACACACACACACACACACACACACACACACACACACACACACACACACACACACACACACACACACACATACACACACACACACAGCGGCGCTCTGTTAAGCTTCCAGAGAATTGATAAAGAACGTCAGATGCTTTTTTTTGTTTATAATACTTGATTAAATTGTACACTTTCCGCATTTTACCAGACTTACGTAAATTATTGGTGACTTGTTCAGCATTCAACACAATGTCACCAGCTCACAGATCTTAAAATGCCCCCTCCCCTTTGGCTACACCACGAAAAGATCCATGATTTAGAAGATTGCATTGGTATCAAAGATTATTATCACCACATATGACACCTTCGCTGTAAGCTGTAAGCACTTGATCTGAAATGGGCTTATCTACCATGTGATTAGATTGTTAAAGGTATCTTTACCTAAATGAAAAATATTTGTTTGAGATGATATGAAAGCTTAATCTAATATTGAATATGTGTAATGAAGAACTTATATAAGAGCTCACATGTGCATGTAATAAAAGACAATTAGATATTTTTAATCTTGTTTTAGTATCCACTTGTGGGATGATTAACCATTAATAGCAATTAAATTTTTCTGCAGTTGATATCAGGTTCTAAGATTCATACCTTCATATACAAATAACAAAAAACATTCAGAACTATATAACTAATTGATCACTTGATTGTATATGACATTTATTTTATTTTAGCTCAACTGCAAATAGTATTACCTCATTATTTACATCACCATACCATACAGTGATCTTGTGTATTGCAGTATCAGTGAATGACATCTATACTTGAGCATTGCACCATTAAAGTTCATCTGTTAGTATGAATATAATTGATTTCCTTACAGGGGGACTTTCACTATGAATTTACTGAATGCGATGAGAAGGGGGGCCGGTGGAGGGTGAGCGTTCCCAAGCCTGGTGTATGTGAAGGTGGTGCTCCCAATCCTCCAACTCGCACAGAAGATTGCAGTAAGTTAAAACAATACTATATTCTTTTCATGGAAAATTATATGTTATCAGTTTTGGTATACTGAGTTTGTAATAATCAAAACTGATATAGGCTAATGTAGGGGTTCCTAAGTATTCTAAATCTAATAAGCAGTCACTATCTCGATGGTTTAGAGAGTTGATGGGTACTTCATGTTCAGGGCAGGGAGATGTGAAGGGATGGTGTGGTACTTTAGTTAGTATTGAGTGTCCAGCTTGCATGCATTCTTACTTACAGCTACCACCGATGGCTAACCTGGCGTGAAAAAGGGAGCAGCATTGCTAAGCCTCCCAGCCAGTCATAGCTTCTCCATCCTTAATACTTCTGCAGTGCTTCCTCAGCTAAACTTTCGAGGATCACAGAGTAGCAGGAGGCCCTAGAGGTTAAAATCATGGCCCACTGGTGTGTGGACACGCCCTGGCTTCCTAACAACTCATGCCCCACAGCCCCTTGGGGTTAATGGGTAGCTCTGGGGTGGTTGTCTTGCCAGTCTGATCTCCCAAAGGAAAAACACACCTGCAGTGCTTTTAATGAAAGGTGATGCTTTGGGGGGGGGGAAGGGGTTACTGCCCCTCATAAGCAGTTAGTGATGCGGGTTCTGGTTCCCGTTTGGTGGGGTGGGGTGGGGGGTTGACAAGGATTATTGAACTTATAGCAGACCTGTATAGTAGTACTGTAAGTGCTATGAAGTGAGATGGGGGCCTGTCTAATGTGTTCCCTGTTGATCCAGTTCTAACAGGACACTAGCTGCCAATATAGTATGAGACCTGTGGGGCAAAGCACAGTGGAATGCCTTAGGCAAATAATGGACCCTACAGACTGCTGGCCCCCATTATTTGGGATAACTTAGGCAGGGATGGCAGATGTGGCATCCACCCAGAGTGACTGCCTGAGGTTCAACCACAGTTAGGCTACCAGGGCATGGGCTTGGAACATCTCTTTATGGATGGGTGCTCTTGACTACACCTGCTATGGAGGGGCAAAAGTGGTTGAGAGTTGGAGGTTACCCTATTAAAGGTGAGAAGACCTGGCAGCTCCATGAATAGTGTGGTTAGTTGAACCTATCTGATCAGGGCTGAGCGATGCTCACCATCTCCAGGGGGGTTAGTCAGCTACCTCCAGCCGACTCTAGTTGATGAAACTATAATGTGCTCTGAGAATGAAGCATGCTTTTAGCTTTGTCTCTTATTGCTGTGAATGTCCCTACTGATGTTTGCAAACTTGATGTAAAAGAGATGGTCTATGCCAAACTCATATCTGTGGCAGACAGTTGTCCCTGAGATTTTCCTGGGAGACTTCAATGTGGTATCCAGTTGTAACTGAGCTGGCTATGCTATGTCTGACAATCCTCATGGCTTGGTAGCAGATTCTAGCTGTGAGAATAGCCTTTAGGACTTTGTTAGGTAACAGAAGTCAAGGATTACTGGCTCCTGGTATGAACACTAACCTACATCGCTGGCACAGTATAATATGTGGCCAAGGAGATGGACCACATTCTTATCAGCACTTGGTGGAGGGTCCTCCAGGACTGTAGGAGCTTTATGCTACTGACCATAGACTGGTTCTAGCTACCCAACTCTTGAGTCCATTGGCAAATGCCGGAGAACAAAGTAGAATTTCCCCTTGTAGGAGATGCTGGAAGCTAAAGAGCCATTTTGCATAGATCAACCAAATGGTGATTGGGATTTGTGTCGTTCCTTGGTGTGGAGGAGTCAGATACTGTGAAGAGGAGGCAAGGAACAGGACCTTAGGAACCTTGCTGAGGAGACTGAAGACTGTTTCCTAGCAAATGATCATCATGCTTACCAAACCCTGAGAAGGCTGAACTCCAAGTCCTACTCACAGACACCTACATTCCACTAACTGGATGGAGAGATCATCTCAGATCATGTTGGGGTTCATCTGTTAGTATGAACATAATTGATTTCCTTACAGGAGGACTGTCACTATGAATTTACTGGATGTGATGAGAAGGATGACTATCAATTTAGCTTTATGGAAGTGAAATCTGGTCAATATCCTGTTCCTTAGAGTCTCATATTCATGTCTTTTGTAACAGGTCTTTGGGTTATGGGGTAAAGTTGGCATGACCATGTATCCAACCAATGGTTACACTATGAGGCTGGCATAGAACCTGTTACTTGCACAATCTAAGATTGCCAACTCATTTCCCCATGGATGATCCTGCTCATCAGGTTCCTGGGTGGAAGAGGCCCATAGAACAACTTGAGAAGTTGTGACTTAGGCAGATTGACCAGACCTGTCCTGAGGAGTTAGAGATGGGCTCAGAAGCTAACTGGCAACTCGCCACAAGGGACCCTCGTGGCTGGAAGTGAAGGGGGGATGCAGCTATGTGCCACTATTGATTAGAGAGTGGACACTTTATTGAATATAATTATCATTACAGACAGGCAATATAGTAAAAGAAAAAAAAATTGCAAAGTTCATTTTTAATTGATTAATAACAACTCCAACACAGGTATTTCTTGTGACCCTGGCTGGTTCCTCGACCTCAACAAGCTAGAATGTTCACTCTGTCCAAACAGCACCTACTCTCTTGGAGGTGGTGTCTACTTTGACAATTGGACAAAGCTTCCTAGTGGCTTCAGCTCATACACGGAAGCTCTTAGATCAGCCTTTTCTGCTGGGAGGCGGCGAGGTGATGTGGACTGTGGAGCGTAAGTTTTAGAACTTTTATATAGTTTACAGTTGTAAATGTTTCTAACTCCACAAGAACCTTGGCCTTTTTATATAGCATAGATAATAAGATATCTTTTGTTTTTGAAAAATTTTTGTAACTATATTTTGTATTACAGATATGGTTGGCAGCCCCGTGGTGATGTTCTTGCAAGCAGAGGCGGTCAGTGTGCAGCAGTTCTTGTTTACACAGTTAAGCTGGTGAAACCAGGAGCTGTCAAATATACCTATCAATTCACAGATGACAACATTATATTTGAATTTCAGGTAAGAAATAACCTCAACTTCATGTTTATGATGATACAGTATTTAATTGAACTATGTTATACATTTGAGATGATGTAGATCATAAAAATCACAATTTAGAAATAGGCCATTAGTATAATGTTGATAATTACCATAATGATTACTGAAGGCAAAGCCAAATAGAAATTTGCTTTAATTTTCTTTCCTTATTCATAGGCCCAAGATAAAGAATGCCAAAGTATTGATGATGGTGATGACTACAAATGGCCTCCTATTACAAGGGAAGGACAATGGCAAACACGTACAGTCAAGCTCAAGCCTGGCCTCAATGTACTGCACTGGAAAACCATTGGTATAGAGGCTGGTGGCTCTTCTAGACCTGTGATGATCAAGAGTATTCAAATAAGTGGTAAGTTTTTTTATTTTTTTCTATAGCAAGATTCTGTCATTATCTTTAAAGTGAAAGAATTGAAATTTGAGTGTCCCGATATTTCAAATGGAACTTCAAATTATCCTTTGGCATATCCACACAGGTGTAGCACATTCATCTGAATGCACAGAATGCCCTGCTGGAACATACAGTGAACCAGGTGCCTCAGAATGTAAGGAATGTGAGGAAAACACATATGCCCCTCGAGGATCATCAAAGTGCCTGCCATGTGACCCTGTGACTGAATATGCACCAAAAGGTTCCGCTGAGTGCCTCCCCCGACCACCATGTACTTCACGAGACTACTATGAGATAGACTCACCTTGTGATGACAAGAACCAGGTTAGAATTTACTATTGATTGGTGTTCGGTAACATACCTTCATAATTCAGTATTTAGTGTTTTCATATTGAAGACACTGCAGTAAAAGTCCCTTGCACTAAACTTCTGTCTTCCTACAGACACGTGCTGTTTATAAATGGGTTGAGCCTCGTGTATGCCGGATAAAGATGGAGGGCTCAGTAAGGTTACCACCATCTGGAGAAATTAAGATGTGCCCACCATGCAATCCTGGAATGCACTATACTGCTGGGCAAGGTGCAGTACTGACATTGAATTATGTTATGTTCAAAGATGTGTTGCACATATTATGAAGTATGCACACTACATTTGTGCTAATAAGAGTGGAATAAGATAATACCCCTTTTAGCACTTTTTATTCTATTTGGTTTTACTCTAATAATGAAAAAATGTCATACAGGTTGTGTATTTTGTCCACCTGGTGAACACAGTGATGGATTGTCTCCCTGCAAGCCATGCCCACCAAGTACTGCTCCAAATTATGGCTACCAGTACCAGTGGTGGACAGCAATGCCACCAAGAATGGCTGCAACATGCATGTCTTCTGATGGTTAGTAATTTCATAACCATACATATAACTTAAAAAATGAGGAAATAAAACTGTTTGATCTGTATTTCTGTAAATATGAAAGATATGAAAATAAGAAACACTTTCATCACACTATATTCCAAAGTAAAAGCTGATGTGCAAATTATCATTCTAATGGCTAATATAACATAATGTGATTTTTGAAATTATGTATATGACTGTAACTTTTTGTTCTTTATAGATATTGGATGTAACAACTCTGAAGGCTGGCAGGTTGCTGGTGACCATATTCATTCTGGTCGAGGACATGCTGATGATGCTTACCTTGTTCTTAGTCTCAAGGTATGTTGATGGTATTTAATTCCTCCTGAATAGTATATTTGATTGATTATTATTATTTTTTTTTTTGAAATATTAATTCATGTTCTTACATTTTAGAAAGATTCAGAGTTGCAAAGTGTGTATGTATAAATTTTCTTAAAGGTTGGTGGATTTCGAGGACGTGAAATGGGTGGAAGACCAATGGAGGTGGGACGAATATCTTTCACTTTTGAGCTGTCATGTGCTTCTGATTGTGAATTTGTCTTCATGGAGGTTAGTCTATATTTTTTTCTCTCTTGAGTAGATATATTTACAAATGAACAATTATCATATTTACAATAGATATTACAAAAAATGATTACTGCTATGCAATCCATCTGTTGGCAGTAGTGCAAATGCAATGTTCTCATCTGAATCTTGTCCTTAGGCATCAAGCAAGAAAGGAGTGATAGTGCTGAAGAGATGGACTGGGCCTCAGCCACGAATGTACTACAATTACATTGTTACCCGTAATGACTCGTACACTTTTTCTTGGGCATTCCAAAAGGTAACTATTAGTACCTATTATCAGCAAGTAATCCTTTCATAATTATCAGGAATATAAAGGGACTGTATGTAAAAAGGCAACTCCTTTGCACTTAGGAAGCTGAGTTAGATTAACTTTGAATTCATTTGCTAAATAGAAGAAGTCAAATATTGCATTATGTAACCCTGGTGTTACACATATCATGTAACTATTAAGTAGGCATAAAATAATGTTGAAAATTATTTTTCTATATTTCATGCAGCATCTGCTGTATATATATTTTCAGATTCATGTATTTGGTTTGAATTCTTTTTCAGTACATAAATGTAATAGGTAAATCTTACTTATTTAATCCTCCATAACTAGAAGAAGTGTATATTAGTTTTAGGAGCAACATAGTTGGGTATTTCTCATTGCCTTTTACATATTGGTGAATTTATTTTATCTTCTTCTAAATATGCATTTCCCAATGTATTACAACGAATGTGGCAAAATCAAGTTTTCCAGTGACTTTCACAAATGTTGAATAAAATGCTGAAATCCAGCCTTTCAAAAGTCTGGATAGTAAGGGTTAATGGTAATATTTTTCCTACAGGTGTCATGGGAAAAGAGCTATCTGAAGTCCAGCACATTACGCATGTATGAAACTGATATGGCCAAAGTGTTCAACATTAATGTCACCAACACCATTGATGGAGGAGCTTCATCCTGCCTACCATGTCCACAAGTCAGTGTCTTAGTTGCAGCTCTACTATTAAGGGATGAGATAACACATCCTTTATCAATCTGTGCTTTCAGTAAATCATGTTTCAGAAGTGGCTGTGATACCAGCAAACTAAATTATTTCAAGCTTGACAGTACTATTCTTTAAAGGTATATTTGTATGAGTGAAGTAGATAAGATGTAGAAAACATCTAACCAAACATACACTTTCTTTTTATACATTTAGACCTCAGAAGCAGCAGGCTGTATCCCGTGCCCTGCTGGGCAGTACATTGAGAACAGCACAACAGAATGCACTCCGTGCCCAGCCAATACTGTTGTGACAGACCCCCTTCCTTATGGACCTCAATCATGTTTGCCTTGTGGTGTTGGCCTCACAGCTCCAGACCACCTTACTTGCATAGTCCAGTGCAGGCTTACTGTCGATAACTATACTTATGACCTTACTAACATTAGCAGGTAAGACAAAACATGGGATTATACTCCCTTTCTTATGACTGCCATTCTTGGGTCTTCTAATACACCCACTTTAAAGAGTGTTTTTAATGTGATATATATTTTGAAAATGAATGCCAGTATTATCAATTTAGATTCATGTCCCTAACAAAGAAGAAGATTTTCAAAGATCAGAATTTTTATACTTAATTTATTGCAAGAATATGCATAATTTCATATATTGATCATATGAAATCCTTTAGAATGTATACAGGTTGCAGTGTATAAAAAAATCTTAAAATGCTTAAATGAATATAGAGTACTTGATATACTTTCACAAAATCTCATACACAAAAAATTCTTTTCACAGTGCACGGGCAGTGATGGGCAGTACACTCTTTACATCCTCAGGGACTAAGTTCTACCACATGTTTAATATTTCTCTGTGTGGAAATACCAGTGTAGTATGTACAAATAATGTCACATACAACATGGAGGGTGAAGTTTCAACAGTAAGTCCTGGTTTGCTATAGTAACTACTTGTGTATAAACAAAAGTATAGATATTTTTGTTCTCATGTTTTTATTGATTTTACTGATGAGGATGAAATAATTACCTTTTAATTGTTTGACCAATAGAGATTAGAAATATTTCCTCTTATTGCAGGTAGTGTCACGTGTTTGCCGGTCCACCATAGTGCCAGGAGTGGAAGGAATGTCTGGTCTTTTCAGAGTTGGAGCTATTGCAACGCAGTCAGTTTCTCTTGGAGATCATCTTGTTGGAGTCACAACAAGCCCTTCATACTTGAACATTAGTGTGATCAAAGAATTTGTTCAGCCAAATCATACAAACAGAAGGGATTTGCATTTTTATTACTCAACACCAATGTAAGTGCCATTAAACTGTATGACTTTTTTTCCCAAACGATTTGATTGTACATATGGAAGGTAGATGTTGTCTGACGTGCTTATTTATTTAACAGATGTTGAACCATGTCCATGTTGACAAACATAGAATAGGTATGAATGAGAATAAATATCTTCACAATTCAAGAGATATATTTCAAGAGATGTATTTGACTGGTTTCAAATATATATTCATCTGATGCAACATGTATTTCTGACAAAGATATATTCGAAACCAGTCAAATACATCTCTTGTATTGTGAAGATATTCATTCTCTTTCATATCTATTTAACAGAGTGTATTAACTATTCTGTAAGAGACAGTTTTCAGATTGAGATTATACTTAACATGAAATTTCATCTCCCTGTTTAAGGTCTACTCGAGCATGTCCTGATGGCAGAAGCACAACAATAACTCTTCGATGTGACCCAGATCAGCCTGGAGATGGGAAAGTGACTTTACCACAGCAGTGTCCAGATGGCACTTGTGATGGTTGTAACTTCCACTTCTTGTGGTCATCAGCATTTGGCTGCCCTGAGTGCTCAGAGAGTGAACTGATGTAAGTTTAAACTTATTTTTTAAAGAAAGCAGACAACAAAAGAAAAAAAAAAATGTATAGTGTGTGCTTGTGTATGAGTGTGCATGTTTACCTGTATACATGCAAGCACACATACACGCACATGCATAAATGCAGTACATATATGAATACATACATGTTTATAGATTTACGTACGTATGGATGTGCTTACCTAAAAGCATATTCATACTTTTTAGTTAATTGTGGTAACACAGACAAAAATAGCAAGTTATGAGAATATAGAATCCTGGCTACTTCCAGTAAGTGATGGCTTCTTTTTTACCAGTGTTGTTCGTGGAGAGTGTAAGGATGGAAAGCAACCTGTCCACTACATCACTCCAAAGACATGCATTGCTCCTGATAATCTTCCTCAAGGGCGCACAGTTGCATGTTCCACAAGGCTGCCTTTCATTGTGGAAGTAGGTTGATTTCTTCTTTTAAATTATGCTTGATCTATACACTAACCAAACTGTTTGAAAAAAAATCAGTCATTGTTAATGCATAAGTGAAATTCTTTCAGGTTATTGTCCTGAGTACAGTAAGTATGGCTCTGATGCTGTGCCTGCTCCTCTTCTGCCTCTGGAAGAAGAATCAACGTCTTGAATACAAGTACATGAAGCTGGTTGCAAGTGCTTCTTCAAAGGTAATGAATGCTCAGATATCTTGGTAATTTATTAAGGAAAAGGGATAACAATGTTAGTCATTTTAGTCTTCACTTCTGAAAATTTGATATATGAAAAGATGAGTCAATTAACAAATTATTATATGTTATATATTGTATAATTATATGTTTTATAATCCTCCTTTGATTTTTTCAAATGATGTCTTACTGTCTGAAGTCCAGGTATGATTAAATAGATATATATTAAAGCTCCTACTCATTTTCCAGGATGGTATGATGGAACTCCCTCCAGCTGAATCATGTGCTCTGGATGATGGTGAAGAAGAGGAAGTTCAGTTTACCCAGAATGCCCCTCGGGGAATTCTTAGCAAATTGAAACACAATAAGGTTGCAGTAAGTGGGAGCAAGTTGATCACACTCAATTTAAAGGTTATAGCATTAATCATGATGCAATGAAATAAATGAAAACTGCACTGGATATATATAATGAAAATGGTGACTACTCGGTTGTTAACTGATGTTTTCTTTCTTTCTTTTCAGCCCAGAGAAGGCCGTGGATTGCTTGTAGATTCTTTGAAAATATCATCTAAAGACCCACTGACATAAAACCTTGAAAATTTCATGGCTCTGGAAAGTGAGTACAGGACCTCCAGTAAAACCAAATCAATGTGTCACTGATAGACAATCAAATGTCTGAGTGAATTGTTCTGAAGAACTAACCAGCAGGTCCTATTAATCCTTGAATTACCCTGATTAGCCTGAGAACTAGTGTACAAGTGAAGAAAACTGCACACACCCAAGATAGTACATGATGTTTTTAGGATCTACCTGAGAATACTAGTCAGCTGTCTCAAGATGACACATGTGCTCCCTTTAATTTTACTGTATTGGAAATGTCACTAAATTGATGATGAAAGTGAAAATGTTCCTTGTACAATTATTTTCTTTCTAATACTGAAGTGGTATTGTAATTTATTTCAGCAAATGATTGTCAACAGCTAAAAGTGGAAGTATTAATATAAATCTTATTGAATATTAAAATGAAAGTGGGTTCTGAGAAAAGTCAACATGTCCATTGGCACATTGAAGGTTTTAGATGCACCAATTTCATATGATATGATATACATTCATTTCATTTAATTTTTTAAGGAAAATCCTGATAGAATTAGGTGAAGGAAACCATGGTAATGTCTTGAAAATATTTCTTCAAAATTTTACTACAGATATTAACAGTAAGAAAAATGTGCCAATAATAAAAAACACACCAACATGATTAAACCACTTATGAATGATACAGTGCCAGTGTAGTGCCATGCTGAATCCTGTTGACTCTTTACACTTGGCAATATGAGTGTGAAGGTCACAAAGTAGGACATTTTCTTTTTCTTTCCAGAGTTCTTAAAATTGTGTCATGGTAAATGGCTTTCTTCCCACATTTTGTGTGTACATATATCATCTCTTCTTTTATGTAACAGTGGTCCTTGT